AGATAGATACTCTTAGATATGTTGTTGTTGGAATGTAAACTCGATTTCACAGTCTCGGCGTAGGGCTCAGTAGTGAGCTGTCTTGAATTAGCCTTTGATATCCACAGAAACCTGGGAATTTCTTGCACAGCCGAGCGACCATTTTCTCTTCATTTTCACCACTGTGAGAACCACGAATGCAACAAGGTGACTATTCTCTTCTGTGGAGATGCTATGCCAGTCTTTCCGTTTCCTGTCGTTTCGAGGCATATTGTCCTACTCTGCTCGTGTTCTTCCGGTGATATTAGGATTCGAAAGGTTCAGGGTTCTGCCTGAATCGTCGCTACTAATCTTAAAATAATAAATAAATAATATTTAAGTTTCTGTCGTCGTATTAACAACAGCCAGACGAATTTGGAAGTAGACCAACTTTCCGAAATGTTGTTTATGAACTACAAATATACATCATATAGTGGACAACTGTATAACATATTATTGTGTAACGAATCAACCAACCACTAAAATAAGCCTTTATGTAACCCTTATCCTGAGGGAGAAATCTAGTATATGTTAATAAAAATTCACCCCTATCATGTATTGAAGTAGAGAATTTTCTTCCAAATATACTTCACTTCCTAGTACATAATCATTCTATCGCCTCATTTATGACATACAGTGTCAGATATGATGCATTTAAACTAAAGAACTACAACTAGCTCAGGCATTTAGACCGCCTCTGTGGTCTAGTGGTCAGAGTTCCTGGCTACAAATCCAGAGGTCTCTGGTTCGATTTCCGGCGCTACCACATTTTGTGAGAAGTAGTGGTTCTTGAACGGGGTCCACTCAGCCTCGTGAGGATAATTGAGGAGCTATTTCAAGGAAATAGCGGCTCCGGTCTAGAAACCGAGATTAACGACCGTGGGGGTCCGTTTTGCTGACCACGTGACAATCCCTATTCGCTAAAGTTGGCACTAACTTCGCCGACAAGCGGTGGTCGCTCGGTCAGTATAGTTCGCTTGCGGACTAGAGGCCACGGAGTTTTTTATTTAGGCGCTGTTCGTGGCAGTTTCAATGCCAAGTAACTTCATACGAGATTTGTGATGGACGAAGTGGTACTGGAGCAGGTTCATCTCCCTGTTTCTTCGATTTTCCTCCTCTAATCCTCATTCCACAAGAGCCGGGATAGCTCAGTCGGTATAGCGACTGGCTACGGGCTGGGCGACCAAGGGTTCGGAGTTCGAGTCCCATTGGAGGCACGAATTTTCATTTCTCCATATCGTAGAGACGGACTCTGGGGCCCACCCAACCTCCTATTCAATGAGAACTGAGTTTTCTTTCCCAGGGGTAAAGCAGTCGGCGCCTGAGGCTGACCACTAATGCCCAAGAAGTGCTGAGGTCAAGAAAACGTGGATCTATATGTCCACTCCCCAGTACATCTTCATGACTTAGTGTTTAATTGTTTGAGCACAGGGACAACTTTACCTTTTTATCTTTAAATCCTCATTCCGCCATTGTTCCTCACTCATCTGTCACCACCCCTTGAAGTGTGCGATAGCCCTGGGCAGGCAGTACATTATCATATATTCGTTATTAAATTTGCGGGCTTCATCTCTGATTCTGAACTTCGCTGGTTACGAATAAACAAACTGTTTTATGTGCCATACGCGGTGATAGTGGTTAAATATGACAGACGTCAAATGAATAATTTTATAAGTAGCGTTTTAAAATGTTTCAGTAATTCAAAATATAGAACACATTGAAGAGAAAAGAAATGCATTCTACATTCTGGTAGGAAAGATTGGAGAAAATAGGCCACTGGGAAGATCTAAGCATAATAGGAGGTTGCAATTAAAATGGATCTTACAGAAGTGAAATGGGAGGTTATGAAGTGGATTATGTGCCTCAGAAAAGGGACCGTTGGCCGCCCTTTCTGAACATCGTAATAAAATTTCGGGTTCCATAACGTGCAAGGAATTTCTTATGTAGCCGTGCAACTATTATGTTCTTGTACAAAGGACTGAACTCCTTGAAGCTTCTTATTTCATTGGGGACTTGTGCCTTCCGCAATCAGTTCCGATTGTTTGCGACCAAAGAGAAATGTTCTCAGTACTTTCCCTTACATTCCTGTGCCATTCCTTGTTTTTGTTTCTTATTTACTGCCAGAATCATTTGTACTCTTTTAATTCCCTTTCATTTAGTTCTTCAAGTCTCTCTGGGAATTCGTTCTATAAAATCAAAACATTAAAAAATATGTGAAAGTGTATCTAGATTTGTTGTTCTTTCCATCAAACTTTCTTTACAAATATTTGCTTAAACGTTTTAAAGTACACTGTACTATAAAGAGATCTGTTTTGAAAACCGTTTAAATTTCGAAACTATCATACGAAATATAATATAGGCAATAATGATTCAAAATTTCTGTAGATAATGATGGATAATGATGAATTGGATACTACAATGAACGTAAAATATTTTATGGTAAAGGTAAATTTATCCCTGTAACAGGCCGTGGAGGCGCATAGGGTTGGGAGAGGTTGAGGCTCCCACATCTTCTAGACACTCGGCTAACAGATGGCGGTAATGTTAAATGTGTTATATAGTATAACACAATTTATCTGAAAGAACTGAGGAAAATGCGAGAAACATCACCACAATCCGCCTCCGGGCCAAAGAATTGGTTCCGGGAATTCCCAATTTCGGAATGCTCCTAAAATATCCAGGACGTTCGATCTTATCGTTTGATATGTTTATTCTGATAATAGCAATTTCAATGCATGAAAAGGGTTTTAATAATATTCTCATGGTTCATTGAACAGATACTTTGAAATTTCGATTTCAGACCTTCAAAATCTCTTACGGTTTCAAAATATTTCGACATTTCTCTGCAGTTGTGTGATGATTGAAAATGCTGAGGCACTGCAATTAGTAACAGATGTACAAATAATGATATATTTCAAAATCACGAATTTCTTAGTATCCAAATTACAGAATTATGTACGCTACAATATTGGAAAGATATTGAATTTGTATTCATCGGGAGTATTTAAAATTATTGTATAGTTTAAAACTATCATTAAATAAAATTGTACTAGTGTGAAAGAATATAAGCCTCATAATATTATGATTTAGCGTTTTTTCATTGTTTCCTTTGATTTTGCCCTTGGGTTTTAGCACCGTGTAGACGTGGGCACTGTTGTCTACGTTTCGGAGGACGTGCTGCCTTCATCTTCAGGGTCAAGAGAGTAAGTTCAGTGAATGATCGTATATATAGGTATCGGACCAATGACAATGGGAGGAAAACGTAAGGAGCGGATGCCCGCGGGTCAGTAAAAACAGTGGGGAGGAGATGTGCACAGGAGCGGTCGCTTTTGTTGGCGATGTCTCCAACACTCCTCATATCCACAAGGTGAAAAGTCCAAAGGAAGAATCAGATACCTCTTCTGTGTATGCACAGCACTCTTGCTAGAAATGTTGTGACCCAAACAGAAAGCTAAAATTGTCTACAGACATACTTCAATTTCAACAGCTGCTGTTGTGATTGAAGAAAATAATTTCATAACACCAGAAACTTAAATGCAGAGCTGCTGAGGCTCGTATGTGTACAAGATATCACACAATAGACCAAGATATTCCATATCCGGAACAATTCAAAGTGAAACAAAGGCGGTGAAAGAACTCAGACGACATGAAAGGTAAAAGAAGGGGGGAATATTTCTAGAAATCATCTATATAATCATCTATATGCGTAGACTAAAGCTAAATTCATCAAAGAATTTTTGTGCGTAGGAACAGATTGATGACATAGCATTTTTACCCATAGCAGAGTGTAGAATTTTAGGTTATGCAAGGAGAAATGAGGTGCACGTTTCCTTATTTTACATTCGGTTTAGACAGACTTTGAAAATACATTTGTTAAACCTAATTTAAATTCATGGAGCACTGTATTTCATTCTAGTTCGAGGATAGAGATGCAATCTGCATAAGAACGAACAACACAAGACATACAACAGTGAAAATGGCTTAATTCTAGAGCTGCATACTTCCGCTTTATAAACAAAATAAACATTTTACTGTTTATTTTTAGACGAACTCTCTCTGCCTGCATTAAGTCTGAATCCAGCATTAAATTTGTCCCCTTGTTTATAGAGCGGACATCGGGAACAGAACGGGGGATACGTGAAGGAATGATAAATAATGGAGCACAAGCAGTAAATGCGTTTGATTTAACTCATAGGATGAACGTTTATTGATCGTCTCACATCCATATTCAGGTCGCGAGACTAACTGACGCACTCTGCAGGGCGATAACAAAGAACATAACAACAAAATAAAACAATATAGACACATCGGCATAACAAATAAACTTGAACCAAAAATATAAGAACATAAAAAAGTAACTGATAAAATTGTTAATTAATATATAGGTTAGTACTAAAACATTTCAGTGTGGAGAGGATACTGAATTCTAATAAGCCAGAACTCACGAAAGCTTTACCGTGAATTGTAACGAATATCGAAAGATGAATATACTTGGGCATTAAAATCTTACACAAATTTACGTTACACAAGCAGCTGACTGAAACAGATTATTAAAAGATGCATATTTACGCCACTCACAGTAATTTTAAGATGATATTTAAATAATCTAATGTTTAGTACTTTCTTCCCCTCTATCTGAAAATAGTAAATATGTCAGTTATCCAGACAGGAGGGATTTCTCTGTCTTCCTTCTTAAAACGTACATACAGAGAGATAAGAATTTTGTATCTCTTTTTCAGACGATTCCTCTGTAAGTGAAAATAATTTATACATAATGTGTTTCCAGAAAGTATTCAGAGAAGATGAAGTTTAGAAAAATTTAGAATTCATTGAATTACTCTAGACGTGAGTTGTCAGTAATCCTGCCCCTTCTAACCGATAGGAGACCACCGTTTGTCGCGATGTGTGTCCCCCACCACACATACAAGAGACACAGCATGTAGTCGACGAGAAGACCACAGGAGAGCGAAAGAGGATTCAGCTTAGCCGTGTTTGCCGTGTCCATGATGGTAACCCCAGTGTTTGTGGTCTTCATGGTCATGCTTCTTGCCGTAGTCCGAATGGTGTCCATGGTGATGTTCATGGCCGCCGCCCCCATGGTGACCGTGGTGATCATGATGGTGGTGTCCCTTCTCATGATGACCCTTCTTGCCGTGGTGGTGGTCATGATGTCCCGAATGGTGATGGCCTCCCTTGTGATGGCCTCCCTTCTTGTGGTGATGTTCATGATGATGACCACCATGCTTGCTATGATGACCCTCGTCGTGATGTTCGTCGTAGAAATCTTTGTGTTTCTTGTACTCGTCCAGTTTGTGAATCTCGTGGTGTCCCTTGGTTGAGTGTCCCTTTTTATAATGGCCCTTTTCACCGTACCCGTGCCCTTTTTCGCCCTTTTCACCCTTATGATGGTGATGATGATAACCATCATCGTGATGGTGATGTTTTTTATGTCCGCCATGTTCGCCGTGATGACCACTGTGACCCTCTTTGTCGTGGTGGCCCTTCTTACCGTGTTCGTGATGATGATGTCCTTTGTAGCCCTTGTCATCCTTGTGCCCATGGTGATGATGGTGGTGTTCGTGGTGTTCATCACCACCACCTTTCTTCCAGTGATGGTCGTGATGGGATTCTGCAGCCACTAGATCGGATTCCGACGCTTCTAGGTCGCCACCGTCGCGGCGGCTGATTTCTCGGGAGTTTGTGACATGTATCAGGCACGCTGCTCCAAGTACCAAGAGGCACAGTGGCAATCTGCAGCCCACTGCAGTAGCCATCCTGTCACACTTACAACTGAACAACACAGCACTGAATGATGGCATTCACTTGCCCAGTTCTCTATTTATATGGTTATAAACTTTCTGATCAACGACACAGAGAGGAGAGAACAGTTTCACATCCAAGCTCTGTCGTTCTTCTTTTTTGTGTGTGTATGTTTTATTGCGAATGCTTGGCAAGAGACGGGGGAGGAAGTGGAGGAGGATTCCGCTCTGTCCAATTCCCTCCTCTCCTTGTCATGACGTTGAGTTTTCGAATGACGGCCTCAATGCCCCCCACCCTCTTTTCCTAGTCCAAAACATTGTTATAGCTTTCACTTTTTTCCTTATCGCCAAAGCTTAATCACCCAAGTTAAGTTTTAGATCTCTGTACACAAAACAGTAACGACAAACAAGAAAAAAAAATCAGATGAGGAACTGCAAATTCAATTTCCCTGAGCCGCTTGTTTGCAGGCGGTACCGCTCAAGTGTGGAAGTTGGCACAACCGACACACAGTTCAAGAGCGGTCTGACCGGCCGCCATGTTATTGCTTGTATAAGGCACGGTAATTGGGTTCTCACCCAGTTTAATCCATATAAAACAACTGTTATCATGTCTACACCAGCTTACATAATTGGATCTGATGAACCGAAACAGAAATTATTTAACGTTTTAAGTAGGTTGCTTGCTTTAGCAACCAGAGAAATTAAAAAAGGAGGCCACAGTAACATCTATATTTGTAAAATAGAAACTTTATTTCACTTCTTTGTACGAAGTCTCGCTTTTAAATTGTCCGTTCGATATACAGTTCAAATTATTCTTGAATAAAAACTGGACTATTTATGGACGTTGCCACATTTAACATGCTTTTTTCTCGAAGGTAGATTATATGTTAATTTTATTATTATCCACTTCAGGACTTCTCAATTATGAAACTGCTGTAACCTGTAAATCCTGCTCTTAATACGTAATCATTTATCAGTAGCCGTTGAAATTTCAACATTGAATTTACGAATAAAAGTACAGTATTCATACACTTTTATAAACCTTCCTAGTTTCGTATTTATTTTCATATACTTTAGTAGTCATGATTCCTCATTAACTTTCATATTGTTGTTTTGTGTTAGACATAAGATAGATGCAGTTACATACTGCATGCACACAGCTGTGAAATATGATAGTTCGCAGAGGATTAGAAAGTTATTTATGTAGAAACAGAATTTGTTGTTTATTATTTATCATATTTACTTGAATATATTTTCCCTTATCCCTTCTTTCTTGTATTTATGAGAACTGTTCATATATCGCAATTGTGGCGGCCTAATGGCGGGAAGAATATTTCAAGCTGAAGCAGAAAGACGCGAGAATAGTGTTGTGTGTGTTGTTGTATCAAAAATAGAATTAAAGAACAATTTGTTATTCATTTATTTACGTGGTATTTTTCAACGATTGATCTCAGTCTACGTTGAGGTCGAATCCAGCTTAAATTTGTCCCCTTGTTTGCAGAGCGGACATCGGGAACAGAACGCGGGATACGTGAAGGAATGATAAATAATGGAGCAAAAGCAACGAATGAATACGTTTCATTTAACTCATCTGATGAATATTTATTGGTCGTCTCACATCCATATTCAGGTCGCGAGACTAACTGACGCACTCTGCAGGGCGATAACAAAGAACATAACAACAAAATAAAACAATATAGACACATCGGCATAACAAATAACTTGAACCAAAAATATGAGAACATTAAAAAAAGTAACTGATAGAATTGTTAGTTAATATACAGATTAGAACTGAAAATATTTCAGTGTGGAGAGGATACTGAATTCTAATATATCAAAACTTGCAGGAGCTTTACCGTGAACTGTGTCGGTTATCAAGAGTATATACTTGGGCATATGAATCTTACATAAATATACATTACACAAGCAGCTGACTGAAACAGATTATTAAAAGATGCAAATTTATGCAACTCACAATAATTTTAAGAGAATATTTAAACAAACGAATGTTTAGTAATTTCTTCCCCGCTCTCTGAAAATAGTAAATATGTAAATTTTCTTCTTAACCCGTCTCTACAATGAGATAGTAATTTTGTGTCTTGTTTCAGACGATTCTTCTGTAAGTGAAAATAATTTATACATAATGTGTTTCCAGAAAGTATTCAGAGAAGATGAAGTTTAGAAAAATTTAGAATTCATTGAATTACTCTAGACGTGAGTTGTCAGTAATCCTGCCCCTTCTAACCGATAGGAGACCACCGTTTGTCGCGATGTGTGTCCCCCACCACACATACAAGAGACACAGCATGTAGTCGACGAGAAGACCACAGGAGAGCGAAAGAGGATTCAGCTTAGCCGTGTTTGCCGTGTCCATGATGGTAACCCCAGTGTTTGTGGTCTTCATGGTCATGCTTCTTGCCGTAGTCCGAATGGTGTCCATGGTGATGTTCATGGCCGCCGCCCCCATGGTGACCATGATGATCGTGATGATGGTGTCCCTTCTCATGATGGCCCTTCTTGCCGTGGTCGTGGTGATGATGTCCCCCATGGTGATGGCCTCCCTTGTGATGGCCTCCCTTCTTGTGGTGATGTTCATGATGATGGCCACCATGCTTCTTATGATGACCCTCGTCGTGATGTTCGTCGTAGAACTCTTTGTCCTTCTTGTACTCGTCCAGTTTGTGAACCTCGTGTTCTCCCTTGGTTGAGTGTCCCTTTTTATAATGGCCCTTTTCACCGTACCCGTGCCCTTTTTCGCCCTTTTCACCCTTATGATGGTGATGATGATAACCATGATCGTGATGGTGATGTTTCTTATGTCCGCCGTGTTCACCATGATGACCATGGTGGCCTGATTTGTGATGATGGCCATGTTTACCATGTTCATGGTGATGGTGCCCATGGTGGCCCTTTTCATCTTTGTGCCCATGGTGATGATGGTGGTGGTCGTGGTGTTCATCACCGCCACCTTTCTTCCAGTGATGGTCGTGATGGGATTCTGCAGCCACTAGATCGGATCCCGACTCTTCTAGGTCGCTACCGTCGCGACGGCTGATTTCCCGGGAATTTGTGACATGTATCAGGCACGCTGCTCCAAGTACCAAGAGGCACAGTGGCAATCTGCAGCCCACTGCAGTAGCCATCCTGTTGCACTTAACTGAACAACACAGCACTGAATGATGGCATTCGCTTGCCCAGTTCTCTATTTATATGGTTATGAGCTTTCTGATCAACTGCATAGGGAAGAGAGAACAGTTTCGCATCAAAGCTCTGTCGATACTTTTTTTTTCTGTATATATGTGTTTTATTGCGACGGCTTGATGCGAAACGGGGAGGAAATGGAGGAGGCTTCTTCTGTGTCCAATTCCTTCCTCTCCTTTTCATGACGTTCAGATTTCGAATGACAGCCTCAATGCCCCTCACCCCTTTTGCCCGTCCCATACATTATTTTAGCTTTCACTTTTTACCTCATCGCCACGGTTTACCCACCCACGTTAAGTGTTACATCTCTGTAAACAAAACAGTAAAGACAAAAAAAAAATACAAGTGAGTAACTGCAAATTCAATTTCCCGGAGACGCTTGTTTGCAGGCGGTACCGCTCAAGTGTGGAAGTTAGCACAACGGACACACAGTTCAAGATTGGGCCTGACCGGCCGCCCTGTTATTGCTTGTATAAGGCACGGTAATTGGGTTCTCACCCAGTTTAAACAGGCGAATTTCAAATTCCGTATAAAACAACTAGTATCGTGTCTACGCCAACTTACATAATTGGATCTGATGAACCGAGACAGAAATTATTTAACGTTTTAAGTAGGTTGCTTGCTTTATCAACCAGAGAAATTAAAAAAAGGAGGCCACAGTAACATCTATATTTGTAAAATAGAAACTTTATTTCACTTCTTTGTACGGAGTCTCGCGTTCAATTTGTCCGTTCGATTTCCAATTAAAATTGTTCTAGGCTAAAGGCTGGACTTTTACTGGACGTTGCTCCGCGTAACTTTCTGTTCTCTTAAAGGTAGATTATACACTAATTTTATTATTATTCACTTCAAGAGCTTTGAATTTGGAAATTGCTCTACCCTGTAAATCTTGCTCTTAATAGCCATTAGTCATTTGCCGTTGAAATTTCAAATTTAAATTTAAGAATACAAGTACAGTATCCATACACTCTTATAAACGTTCATTGTCTCGTAACTGTTTTCATATACTTATATCATGATACCGTATTAAATTTCATATTGTTGTATTGTGTTAGACGTGAGACAGATGTGCTATTTATATATTGCATGCACGCAGCTGTGAAATATGATACGTCACAGATTAGAAATTTATTTATGTGGAATAATAATTATGTGTTGTTCAGTTACCTTGTTTCTTTGTAAAATATTCTCCCATATTCTTCTCGTTTTATATAAGAATAATTAATATATTATAATGATTTTCAGTAGGAATCTCGTTGAAAAATAGAGAAATCTGTTGGCACGTCTTTCGGGTTAAAGGAAATTTTATTGCAAATTTTACAGAAAATTTTTGATTAAAATTTAACCTCTGTTGTACAATATTAGTGAAATATTTGAATCGGAATAATTTCGATAGAATATAAATTAATACCGACATATTCTCCTTATGCATTCTTTATAGAATCTTAATAAACTAAAAGCAAAGTCAAAGATAATTCACTCACTTATTTCAGGCATCTCCCGGAACTCAACTACAAACAAAATACATCATGGAAACCCAAACGGAGATCCATACCAAACCTGATAAAAACATTCAAATATATGAAACATGTACTGCAACTCTACAACACGAATAAAACCACATGTTCACCTACAGTACCAAGAAATCCGCACGCTGAACAGTAACATCCTTAAATAAAAAGGGACGTTTCCGCGTGCCTAATAAACATCAAACATCACGAAGTCCATGTACGCTACTTAATAGCTTAAATGCGCAACCCCCTCCCACATTTTCAAAAAATTAAAAAATTAAATTCTATTTTTATTTAATTTTA